TTTCCAATTTTTTAAAATAAAATCAGCAATTTTTTAGTGGTAAAGGATGCTCGATCAGAACAGCAATAATACGGAAAACAAATCAAATGACAAGTGAAGAATTATGTTTTGAATAAAGGGAAATCGCTTGTTGACAAATATATATTTTCGACAAGCTTTCGCAAGAATAATAGCTAAAACATTTTAGCTTGCTGACATCGATGCCACGGGAGGACGCCCGATTCTTTTACTACCATTTGAACGAGAACGATCCCGTCAAACTCTTTAGGCAACACAGGAACAACGTTAAGAATCTAAACATTCATTTCCTACGAGAGCTTATTTTTAAATGTTTTAAAGATGAATAAGAGATAAAAGTTATAATGAATGTATATTGATAAGAAGATAAAATATTAGTAAGTATATATTTACTAATAAGACTACATTCTAAGTTTTAAGGCGAATAACAAAGGCTGTAATCAAAAATAGCTTGATCGATATATTTTTATGGTGATTTATAGACACCATTTTATTGATTAAACGTTAACTGTAAGTGTTTTTGGTCTAAATTACTTTAGAAGAATAATTGCATTCATCTCCTTAAGTTAGATTTCCATTATACATTTGTATATTATAATAATCCAATTCTACGTAAGATAATAAAATATACGACAGTTTATTTTGCTATAGAATTTAATGATATAAAGTCTATCGATATCTCTATAGTTAAAATATAGGTATTTAATACGAATATTGTAATTAATCTAATATCTAATTGAAACATTAGATATTAGATTAATTGCTGTATTCATATTAAATACCTGTTTATGCATTCTTAAAATGTTTGTGAATAAATTATAAGTTTTGATAGCATAAAAACAAAAACAGATTTATTTATTTTTACTTTTATGCTTAAAAACTTAAATTTATTACAGTTATTTAGTGCAAAGATTTATCTAGGCGTACTAAATATAAACTATTCTAAATATCTAAATATGCTGTGTGAGTATGTGTTTATAGATCTAAACTACTAGATCTCTGTATGCAAGGCTATACAAAAAGCTATACTACATTTAATGCAAAGATTATTTACGGTACAATTATACACACAAAACGCAAATATGTCGTTTATTTGTACTGCAAAAAATGATGTCAGATTACTTCATATTTTTGCACATAATGTTGCAATAAATAAACATTTAAAATTTTAATATATATATTTTATATATACAAGTATATGTAATTAGATATAAATAAACTAAGTAATATTTTAGATTTAAAATACCACATACTTATGTAAGCACATAATCAAAAGTTTTACAATAGGATATATTGTTATGTGATAAAAATAGACAATAAATATATTATATTTGGTTAATCTTATAAAAATTCTATAAATATATTTTTATTTTTAAATTAAACATTTTAAAATTCTATTAAATAAACATAGGAAGTAATGGAAATTAAAACAAATTATATCTACAATGATTTAATAACTTAAAATTTTTTTCTTATAGCACTTATAAGAAAACAAATAAAACATCAGAATTTGCATGAAATTCAAAATAGAAAGTTTTTCTTTATTTTTCTTTTGTATACGTTACATATTATAATCTCATATTGGATTTAAGGAAATGAAATTTTAGACTGTTGTTTCTTCTTTTGAAATGAAAATATAGACTACATTTAATTATAGCACGAATATATTAAAAGATGACAGAATTTTTAGCTTAATTGCATTTCAATTATTACGGTTGATATTGTCTTTACAGCAATTTGATTACTCATTTTTTAAACATTATCCGTAGCTTTTAATAGTTTATCAGATATCGAGCCTGACTAATTAGAAATTTACCAGTGAACGAAGGGGCTGTTGACTGTACAAGTCCGATAAGCTACTTGTCGTGAATATATTATAGGGATTTTCTATCGGCTCTTTTCTTCTTTCCCAGCAGGTTCTTTGTACGTTTAGTTATAATTGAAAACCATCTTATCAGAAAATAAATATAAACATTTTATAATCTAGCCTTCAGAAAACAGAAATTGTAACTATTGGAAATGAAATTTCAATTAATTAAAAATTTTGCATCGAATTATAATTTTGTATTCACTTTAATACGATTTTAAATTTATTCTTTGATTTATAAAATATAAAAATACACGAGAAAATATCATCTGTGCATCTTACACGAATAAAAATATAAAAAATAGAATTAAAACAAGAAAATATTTAAAAGATAAATATTTAATTTATTTTATATCGTAATTTAAGTAATATATATAAAAAATCACATTATTTTTACACTATGAATTATATTATAAACGTTTCTTAATTTATGTAACATATCGAATGATTTCTGTTTTTAATTCGCATGTAAATGAATAGATTATGAACTCAATAACATTAATTCATATGCAATTACTAGATTATGCACGTTTTACAGGATGTAAGAAATTTATTTTATAGTCGTTTACAAAAATAAAACTGGCATCAATTTGCTTAAATGTATCCAAATAATATAAAGAAATGTATCCAAATAATATAAAGAAAAGAAATAATATATTTCGCAGACAATTGACTGCGATGGAGGAAATGCAAAAGCTTTTTACTCGATGTAACCGATTCGTTTTTCTACGAAAGCTTTCTGAAGTGTTTACCAACTTATCTAGACAAATTAGTGATGGATGGAAGTTTAATTAGCAAAAGTCAAGATTTACTAGAACCATGTGTGAAAGCAGAATCAATCCTAAATTTAAACTAGACCTATATATGATATGATCAGCCCAAACAGGGAGGCAGCCATCCATCACATCTACTATTTGCCTGCAGGTACCGCCCAATCGTGCTTTAACTCCTCCTATGGCTCCGCGACCAATGGCGGAGGGGCGAGCTGGACGCTCATCCCTATCTTTGTCTAATGCTGCATGTAGTAGTGTAACGTCTTATGCGTGACGTTATCGTGATGGTAATGAAGTGTTCTTCATCTGTAAAAATATTCCTTCAATCATTAAATAACAAGTAGTTACCAGATAAACTATTTTCGTTCCGTGACGTCATTGGTGGTGTTCGGAAGAGAAAGCGATTCAGGTGAGACAAAATGGACGGAGCATTACCATCCGCGCTTATTTTGTCTGCTCCGGCTAATTATCGGATTCGGTTTTAAGGTGAAGAACAATCAAAGTCAGTTTACAAGTTACTTAATGGGCGAAGAATTTTTATTTTGCAATTTTGTCGAAAATAAACTAAATATGAACGGTTTGAAAATTAATAAGCAATTTGTTGGCTTAATCTCTTCATATTAATTCGAATCAAAATGCATTTATTGTTTTAAGTTGTATAGAATGCCAGATCTATTACACAGAGCTATTACAATAATTATAACTTTTCTTGCAACAATTTGTTCAGATACATAAATTTAAATTTATTTTTTATGGATTTTAACCCATTACTTATAAATTATAAAGCGCGAAAGGAAAAAAATCCTGTTATTTATATCGATTTTTACTGTAATATGTTTCCACAAATAATTGAAAATAACAATATGAAATGTTTAAATTGCTGACAGAACTGAAAAATGAATCATTTTGCGAGAAAAAAAATTTAACTTCACTGCAATATTTCCTTAAAATCTACGTAATTTTTTGCTGAAAATAAACAATTTTAACATTTTACAATTGCACTAAACATATTTTAAATATCAACAGAACTAAGTTAATTTTTAATTTAACAGAAAAATATTAAGCTTCGTTTACATAATTTTATAAACGATGAATTAGTTAGGGATAAACAGTATTATTATACTGCTGCATAGTGCATTCTCAAGTGGTATGGTAGATTAGGATGCGCTTCACGATCGTCTCTCTTAAAATGGATCCCAGGACAACTATTCGGGTTATATAAAATGGCTTGATCACTCTGGGGTCTTGTTATAGATAAAAGTCTTTTACAAATAGAGACGCGGTATATAAATGTTACCTTTTATACTAATGTACTGTACAGGTCTAAAAATACGAAATAAATCTCTAAAGAAATACATATTTAATAATTTATAAAGAATTGAAACACTTTTAATAACTATAGATTTACATTGTGGCTTATTTAAAAATTAAATGATGCATTCTAATTTTAAAAAATTGTTTCTTGCATTTAATTATGAAAATATTGTGCAGCCTCTTAAGATCATAACATCGGTCTAAATTTTGTAGTGATTCTTATAGATTAAGCATTTAAGATATATAAATGATATCTTAAATGTAATACAGCATAACAATATTTAAAATCTGAAATTGTATAGGCTCCAATATTAATGATCTTTATTGTTATAGTTTATGTATTAAGTACCGAAATTATGTGAACCAATATTACTGTATTATTATTATTATTATTATTGATATAAAACTGAATTGTGAGAGAAAATAAATATTTTCCAACATAATATATTTCTTTATTCATATTCAATTATAAATCTATTTTCGATTAATATTTTTCAAATTTTTCACTTATTATTTGTGTTGGTTCTATTTAACACTACATTTTTTGTTTTACTTTGATCCCAAGAATAACAGTAAATTTTATATTTATCTACTTCTTAAATATACTTAATATTTTAAAAAAAAATAAGTTAAATGTTTCTTCAAATGGCAGTAACAAAAATATGTCGTTACTCCTTAAAACTTCGCAAATAATGTCAGGTTATTGTTGATTCTTTTTGTATTACGTGGACCTTTTTCTGTATCATTTTGTTTTATTATAATATTAAAAGAGACAGTATAGTAAGAGATGTATTCTCTTACTTCTAACTAGGCTAATACTATTAATATAAAAGGTGAAGACAAACTTAGGCCAATATTATTAAAATAGGAAAAAATATTCTCATCAGAAAGGGTTATTTGAGTTTTTAAATATTTTAAGTTACACCTTAGCAGAAAAAAATTTAACAGTTAAATTTTACGTTTTCGCATCTTTTGATCTTCAGTTCTAGGAAATGAAATCAGGAAGGGAGAATCATCCGGATGGTAGAGCTATATAGAAAAATCGCGTTTAATATTGATAGATTTGTTTAGATGCTTTTAAAACAGATTTAATTCCTTGCTTGTGGCATTAACTTATAAATAATGAAATGCATAGATAACTCAACTATTTGATTAAAGCACTAAACGCATAATCTACGCCTTAACTTATTTAGTGTGTTGACTTCATTGGTTATTTGACAAAGTAAGGATAATAAGCAATTTTTTTAAATAAAGATCTGTTAGGTAAAAACAAAAAGATTATAATTATAAAACATTTTTGTTTAGCTCTACTAGCCCAGTTATTAATAAGGAAGCATCGAGGATGCAACAGGATAGTGCTATAATGTTGTTATTGTTTATTAGAAATACTTTCATATCCGCTTTCGAATATCCATCCTGGTTTTATAATAATGGATGGAAGGCAGAGGTAAGGATATAGAAATTTAAGCTTCACCTACGTAATTACAGTTTTGTTTTAAAAGAGAACTAGAGTATGAATTCTTTTCTATGCCAACTTAACGCGAAATTTCGTTATTCGAAGGTAATATCAAAATGTAGCATTTTCTCAATCGGTGATTAATTAATAATAGATTTAATTTGCAGAAGTATCTGATAATAACTTGTAAAATTCCACAATTCGTGCATTAAAAATAAGTTAAGATAACCTTATATGAAAAATAACTTTTAATCTGACAATTAAGTTAACTATTGTTCAAGAGACAAATCTATGAAATTTAATATAAAAATATATTTTTATTTAGAAAAAATCTACGATTTAGGTAAGAATTTTATATTATTTCGAGGATAGAAGCTTCGTTTTATTTATTTTCTTCAGGGATAATCCGTAGCCGAATTCGTATAGAAACTGTCTTATTAGATGAGGAAGCGACTTCAGTATTTCCGACTATTGAGCATAATACTCGGTATTTCGAGTTACGAAATCGATTTTAACATTTTACTACTTTAAATCAAGTATTCGAATGCTCGCGCGCGGATTCGGCCGTTAAAATTAAGTATAGGAGTAGGATCAGCTAGCGTTATACTAACAAGAGGTTTTATCGTTGGCAGAGCCGTCTGATGGAGACAGGCGAGCGTTCACGATCGCCCCAACTCGATCCGGAAGCAGATACTCCGGCCGATTCCGACTACGATTGTTACAGCGACACAATGACACCATGTTCACGAGAATCCAGCACCGGGTCGGCGGGTCCTCCTTCTCTACCAGATCAAGACGATCGGGCGGAGGGCGAAGACGAACCCGGCGAACAGTGGACAGCCACGGCTTGCTTTTTGATGTCCCCCGACCCCCAAATTCCCCGTACCCTTTACAGCGGGACCCTGGACACTCCGTGGTTCTCTCCTTACGGTCTGACGCAGTTTCGTTCTCTCTCGCTCGGCCAACCGACTATAGTTGCCACTCAGCCCGTACCTCTCCTGACAAGTACACGGAGGAGCATCCGACGCCGATATTGCAGCATCGAGGACGCCGAGCCTCTCCCCGTGGCTAGAAAAGTGGTTCGGAGGATGTTTACTAACAGTCGCGAGCGATGGAGACAACAAAACGTAAACGGTGCGTTTGCGGAATTGAGGAGACTCGTACCCACGCACCCGGCCGATAAGAAGCTGAGCAAGAACGAAATACTTCGATTGGCGATTCGATACATCCGCCTGCTCACCACCATCGTGGACTATCAGAGGCAGCACGACCAGCAGCCAGAGGAGCCCGTCGTCCAGTCGACCGATTCCTCTACAGGTGTGAAAATCGAACCCGTCTACGACACGGGCCAAGACGACGTCAGCTCTCCGGCCTCCAGTCTCTCCAGTGTTTCCAGTAGCGAGGGACCGGAGGATGGACTTTTCTGACACTTTGGTGTGTACGTGCGGAACTCATAGGTATGTGGACATTCCTATTTTCGTAGTAGTTGCGTGTCGTGTTCGTCTCATCCTCAGCAAGTGCGCACATTGTTCGGTCTTCATTCGTTGACGTTCCTGTGTTAACATTAAGAACGATATTTTTATTTGTTTATCGGTAAACATTCAGATGTACAAACTTATACTCTTTGGAAATAAATACTCGTGAATACTGATTACTGCCAAATAAACTTCGACTCTTTATTTAAATTCTCCTTCACTTTGATGATAACTTATTTTTCTTATAATTGTCATTAAGGAATAATCGAAATTCAACAATTACGTTAATTGCTAATTTATACAACCAATTAAAATTAATGTATTTATATTACTGTATAATATGTAGATATGCAGTATTCATTAAATTAAATTTCGAGTTTTACTATTTAGATCATATATTATATCATATACCCTAGATAATTGAAATAAATATAGGCCTACAGATTATTACGGAAGAATGTTTGCAGCGTAGTGTGAAAAGTGAAATTTTATAGAAGGTTGCTGTTACATTTTATAAACCTCAAAACCATTTTCTCCAGGGTTTAACCGTAAACAGGAAGAGTGAGCTTCCGCAACCGGTAACCATTTCCGATAGACGCGACTCCATTTTGTCTCACTCAGTGTCCAGCAGGATGTTGCAGAATTTCATCATTTATATTATAATGGACACTGAGATTAAACATCGAAAGCATCCGCACTATCTTCCGTTGGCAGTTTTAAATTTTAAAATAATTGCGTAACGCATTCAACTTAAACGTCAAGTTCTTATTCAAAGTAAGAAAGATAGGTTTAAATTAATATCTAGCTAATTAACTTAGACGACAGTTTAAAATTATGAGCGATGAAGGCCATTTTTTGAAGATTAGTTCATTTTATAGATGCTATTTTCTTTTTTAAACTGAAGTTTGTGTTTTATCGATGTCATCTTCGGTCAAAAATAATTTATTATAATTATCTTTAGCAATATTTTCCAAAAGAAATATTTAAATAATGCTATTAAACGCTTCACTTAAGATCAACTTGATTTTTGTTTGCAGCATTTTTAGATCCTACAATTGTTAGCTATGGCCTAACGATTCGGTTGTTATAGTACGTAGACTCTAAGTATTTACTCAGTGTTAAAAGTCTTTCATTCATTTTCGAGGATAAGTGAAGCTTATCGATGAGCAATATCTATTTATATAAAAAGAATAAAAGAACAATTGATAGATATCACTGCCTCAATAGAAAAAGCAAGGCGTTAAACGTTTTGGATGTGACGCGCATCCAAAATGGCGACTTTGTAACAGTGTTGATCTAAAGCTTTTTCCATTCCAGTTATTTGCCATTTATGAGCGGCCGTCCTTTCGGAATTAAAATGCTAGATTAACCTATTATATCGGCGGTGTGCACCCAGGGCAAACAAGTGCTTATCGGGGGGAGTGTGTCTGCTGACGAAGAGGTGATGCCACCTCCGGGTGAGAGAATAATGGGCAAGAAATTGGTTTGTGTATCCCCTCGGGAGCACCACCCGGTCGACACGCGACCGACTCGAGTCAGAGCCATCGGAACGGAACAAACTGCTTGATGTACTGCCATGTCTTCCCTGCCGACAAATTTACACGTAATTTCCGGTTAGAAATTGCCGTATTATACGGTTGGACGATGACTTTAAAAAGAGCTAGATATTAAATTTATGGATGCTTTATCATTGTTTAGCTATCGCTTATAGATTTCAATCCGTGTTATTGTTTAGGACGCGTTTTTAGAGTTCCCATAGCTCGTACTTACTAGAATATGTCTGCTCTTAGGATTAGGCCTGGTAAGGGGCGTAGATTTTATGGCTCTTCTTTGAATCGAACCCATAGTGATATATGTCGTGTTTAAATCGTATATCATATCAATTCTGTAAACTTTGCATCTTTTGAATCTGATCTATTCAAAATGTTAGATTTTTGTACTAAGGAAACAATCATCTATTAGATATAAGCAAAACTATTTGCAATAGAATTATAATGATAAGCAAAAATTTCGAGAAATCATGCAAACTAAAAGATAAATTAGAAGATTGTGCAAGACATCATAATAAATTAGATTTGAGAGATGACTGTAAAGATGAATGCAATAATTGAAAGAAAATATTAATTAATTACAAAACAAAACGAACATACAGTTCTTAAGAGTTATATTATATAAATTGCTTCAAAAATGATTTTTTAATAAAAGAATTTACGAATTATGAATTTATTTCTGCATTATAATAGAGGTATTGAAAATTATAATATAACATTGAAAATTTTAAGTACAGTTTATTACGACAATGCTTTTTTTTGTACGCACACTCCGAAAATTATTAATCTGCAATGGCTTTTCTTTTTTTAATTCTTTCTGCCATGTGGGCAGTAAGAGGTATTCTACAATAGCTATTAAAATATAAGAAATATATAACCAATTGCGTTATTGTATAACCTTGTATTGAGGGATGAAAACAAAACTAACTTTAACAAGGTAATATTATTTTTCATTCTAAACTGAAGAAAGTCTGTTGAAAAAGGAATTACCAGCAAGTTTTTTAAACTTGTGTTTTTAATACGATATTTTTTCCTTGTTTTTAAGGGAAGTTTTAATCCTGACGACCAAGTAGCCTACAATGAAAGATCGGTCGTCAAAAATATGTATTCCGAAACATTGAAAGTGAATAAATGGTGATTTCTTTTTCAACAGACTTCATTTTCAATTTTAAATTAAACTTAATCGCCATCCGACAAAATTCTACAAGGTAATATTATATTAGTAGGCCTATATAATAAATGACAAGCAATGACGTCTTCTCAAGATTCAGAAGAAAAAAGGAAATTAATAGGTAAAAATAATGGGAAAATTAAAGGGAGGGGAAAATACAGTGATATTTTAGACAAATGGTTAATTTAATTTTCTAATGTAATTTGTTATTAGGTTGTTATAAAAGATCGTACCGCACTTTTGAGATATGCTCGTATTAGCTTAAAATAAAAGAAAATAAATAGTATACAAATTAGAGTCTAAAATGAAGCGATATAATAAACGAAGAGTAGAATATGTTTGCTAATATTTTAAATGATATACCCATATTTGGTTAAATTCAATTAACTGATACATGCATGGGCATTATGCCTAATGTTCGAGATTTAAACGCAATGATTTTATATCCTGTGAATAATTTAAAAGAAATTAAATGTATTGTTTGTTTTAATTTCAATAGAAATGAAGTATAAAGCTATCAACGTTCTTATTATAATTTGAAGATATTTCTCGGTTGGTTTTTCTTTTTATTTGAACAAACTTTAAATTTAAAGCAAAACTTTCCTGGCTTGAATTTCATTGTAAATAATACAAAGTCACAATGTTGCAGAAATAATTAGTCTATTTCTTACATTCTCTTAACCATAAAACTCTCTAGTTCTTCTTGTTTAATTGAACTTAATTAAAGGGGTAATTCTGAATTAAATAAATTCTTTAATTACAAAGTTAAGGTATTTAGATTAACTTGTTAAATAAATCCAATTAAATAGTGGCTATTAACTATTCAAAATAGAAACTATTTAACTATACAAAATAAATATCATTTTTACATTCGCTTGATATCCATGAAAGTCCAGGAAATGCGTAGGCTAGACTTCGAGCTACTGTTACAGTATTATAATATCCGAGTGATAACGGGGAAAATAACTTATATCCAAAGAAACTTATATAAATATATCGCATGTACTACAAAGAATCCATTATTTTGAAAACGATGCTAATTATTTGCTAATTTTGCTAAGTAAATATCACAATAAAGGTGCAAAACATTAGTTTATTAATTATTTNTTTATGCAGTAGATTAGTGTGGAAAAATTTTAAATTATAATATTTAAAGTGCTTTTTCATATAATAAAACAAACTTCCATCCCAGTAGATAAGATGACACTTGTGCTTCTTTTACAACAAGTACTAAAATGTTTGTGAATCTTTATGGAAAAAGCTGGAAGAACTTTTATGACAATGGATCAATCTTAAGCTCCATTAGTAATAGGAAACTCCATTAGTAGATATAAGGAATAGTCTTATTATCTCGAAGATTTTATTATTTTATGTAGTTTCTTACAAGTCATCAATTTGTGTTCACTGCTGGAAAATAAATTGAAGTCATATAATCTACTTAATACTTTAAGAATGGGTTTAAAATGTACAAAAAATTAGATACATCTAAAAATGAATGCATTAAGATCGATTTAAATTTAACATGAAGTATTAATAATATTAACGTATTACAATTATCTCTTTTCCAATCTGGGATTTCAGATAATTAAAAATAAATAAAACATTTTGGCTAAAATATTCAGACGTTTAAAAATCTGATAAATAATCGATTTTCTTTACCTGAATATAAGACATAAAATTAAATATGTAAACCGAAAATAAGTTCTACAAATCTGTTCGTCAAGTAAATTCGTAAATCAAAATGACAGGTACCACAACTTCTTATGGAGAAAATTTAATTCGTTCCAAGCAGGGGGCGAGACATCCAAAATCACTCCAAACATCTGAATACAATAAGAAATATAAAAGATTATTTATATTTTATCATAATAGCCTAAACAAAAATGTAAATTATCTCTAGTTAACTAATTAACAGGCTGAAGAAAACTGAGTTAAAAATATCATTATCCAAGGCTAGCCCAATCTGTCGATCTCTGAGTTTTAAGGAGAAAAAAGATTCATACTCAAAGAAATTCCCTGGTGAAGTATTTTCAAACGTTTTCATCAAACATAGGCTTTTCTACTTTTTTAAAGTTTTGGATCATTTTCAACAAAGCAAATTTTGATTATTTTGATATTTAACAGAAAAAGTTGCAACCCGCAGTACAAGCTAAGTGCATGTAAGAACTAACGTAACGTTCATCAGCTAGACACAAATTCAAAATATTACGCTGACAGGAATCTCTAAAGAAAATCTCTTCACTAAAATTCACTTCATATCTGAATAGAGATGTTGGTATACGAAAATGTTATTCTAAGTAAGATTTAATGTATAAATTCAAAGAAATCGGACAGCTTCGTAATTTGAACGTTCCGAAATCGAAAAATGAATGCATTCATCTGATGTAAAAATTAATGTTTATGCTATATAATTTGGCAACAAAAATACCATATTCCATTGCAAACATATTAATTTTTCAACGAAGATTGA